CTGCTCCTTCTTTCTCCTATTCTACAAGTACTCTGCTCCTTCTTTCTCCTATTCTATAAGTAGTCTGTTCCTTCTTTCTCCTTTTTACAAGTACTCTACTCCTTCTTTCTCATATTCTACAAGTACTCTGCTCCTTCTTTCTTCTATTCTACAATAGGCATGTGCATGGGGAAAATATTCGGCTTGGTTTGGCATTCTGAAATTCGGGACTTCGTCAATTCGGGACTTCGTCAATTCGGGACTTCGAAACTTCGGAACTTCGGCAACTTCGGCACTTGAACACTTCGGCACTTCGCCGCTTTGGAACTTTGGCACTTCGGATCTTAGACACTTCGGCACTTCAGGAACTTCGACAACTTCGGAACTTCGGCAACTTCGGAACTTTGGAACTCCGGCATTTTGGGACTTTTCTTGCAGCCGCTTAGTAGATAACTCCCTAATTCCCACGGTATTAGGAAGTTATCTACCAAAAGGCTGAAAGACCTAAATTGGTATTTACTAATACAAAGTAAAAATGACTTAGTATTAGTACATTAAGCCCCTATTAGCTATACCGCGAGTAGGGGCATGTCTAGTAAATAGTGTTGTTAAAAAAAAAAGGGCCCCCCCTCCCTGAGCGGTGGGTGGGGACCCTAAAGTAAAAAAAAGAGGGGAGGACTTATTGTCCTCCCCACCGGCCCCCACTCCTGAGCGGCGGGCGGGGGCCCTAAATAAAAATTGGGGGGGAACCTAATGTCCTCCCCCTAGCTCCCACCCCTGAGCGGCGGCTGGGGGCTTTAAATACAAATTGGGGGGACCTGTTGTCCCCCCTGGCCCCCACCCCTGAGCGGTGGGTGGGGGCCCCCTAACAAGAATAAGGGGGGGAAGTAATGTCCTCCCCCTGGCCCCCAACCCTGAGCGGCGGGTGGGGGCCCAAAAACAAATTGGGGGGGGGACCTATTGTCCTCCCCCCTGGCCCAAACCCCTGAGCAGTGGGTGGGGGCCCTAAATACAAATTGGGGGGACCTAATGTCCTCCCCCTTGGCCCCCACCCCTGAGCGGTGGGTGGGGGCCCTAAACAAGAATAAGGGGGGGACCTATTGTCCTCCCCCCTGGCCCCCACCCCTGAGTGGTGAGTGGGGGCCCTAAATACAAATGGGGGGAGACCTAATGTCTTCCCCCCTGGCCCCCACCCCTGAGCGGTGGGTGGGGGCCCTAAACAAGAATAAGGGGGGACCTAATGTCCTGCCCCCTGGCCCCACACCTGAGCAGTGGGTGGGGGCCCTAAATGCAAATTTAACCCCCCTCCACCCCAGGTGACTAGGGGTCCCCAAACCCCTAGTCACCCCCTCCCCAAAAAAATACCCCCCTCACCCTAAAAATAATGAGGGGGGACCTTTAACTAAGTACCTGTAAAAATAAAAATAAACTTACCATTTGATGTTTTCTTTCTTCTAAAATCTTCTTTTTTCAGCCCCAAAAAAGGCCAAATAAAAATCCATAATAACCGACGCAATTAAAAAAAGAAAAAAAAAACGAGCACAAAAAACCCCAAAACATCTTCACCCATGGAGGGCTCCGCACAGACTGAGCTCTGCAGGGCGGGGGAAGGCTTATAAAGTCTTGCCCCGCCCTGCAATTAGGCTCAGAGCACTCTGATTGGTAGGTTTAAGCCATCCAATCAGAGTGCTCTGACAAGTAAGTCTCTACATTTACCTGTCACAGCACTCGAATTGGTTGGTTTGAAATCCACCAATCAGAGTGCTCTGTGTCATTTTACACAGCGTGTGAAAGTTCTTTGGAATTTTCCCACGCTGTGTAATTTGACTCATAACACTCTGATTGGTTACTTAATCCACCAATCAGAGAGTTATGAGTCAAATTACACAGCGTGAGAAAATTCCAAAGAACTTTCCCACGCCGTGTAAAATGACACAGTACACTCTGATTGGTGGATTTCAAACCAACCAATCAGAGTGCTGTGACAGGTAAATGTAGAGACTTACCTGTCAGTCTCTTCATTTACCTATCAGAGCACTCTGATTGGATGGCTTAAACCCCTATTCTAGTTTAGGGCCCCCATCCACCGCTCAGGGGTGGGGGCCAGGAGGGAGGACATTAGGTCCCCCCCCCCAATTTGTATTTAGGGCCCCCACCCACCGCTCAGGGGTGGGGGATAGGGAGGACATTAGGTCCCCCCTCTTATTCTTGTTTAGGGCACCCACCCACCGCTCAGGGGTGGGGGCCAGGGGGGAGAACATTAGGTCCCCCCCAATTTATATTTAGGACCCCCACCCACTGCTTAGGGGTGGGGGCCACGTCCCCCCTTATTCTTGTTTAGGGCCTCACCCACCGCTCAGGGGTGGGGCCAGGGGGGAGGACATTAGGTCCCCCCCCCTTATTCTAGTTTAGGGCCCCCACCCACTGCTCAGGGGTGGGGGCCAGGGGGGAGGACATTAGGTCCCCCCTCTTATTCTTGTTTAGGGCCCCCACCCACCGCTCAGGTTGCTTTGTCGTTGAGTGCATGGAACTAAAATTGGACACTCGACGGCACGAACACCACTAGAACTTCCACCTCTAGCTAACTTCGACTAAATCCATACGAACAGTGCGCCGTTCGGTAAAAGTAATCTACCGAATGCACTTCGATATTGACTTAGTGCACAAACAGTCCCGTTTGAACATTCAAAGTACATTTTAATCATTGGAAATAGGCCGACCGCACAGCCTAATTCTCTGGAGCTATTTTGGGCATGAAAACATGCGTGCGGTCGGTCAAAAGAGACTTCCATAAAATGTGTTTGTGTGTGTCTCTCTGTCAATGAATGAGTGTGTGTCAGTGAATGTGTGTGTGTCAAATCAGTGACGTCTGTGTGATTGTCATTGAGTGTGTGTATTACTGTCAGTGTGTATCTGCCAGTGTGTGTCAGTGAATGCGTGTGTGTCTGTCAGAGAGTGTGTTTAAAGGGACACTATAGGCACTCAGACAATTTCAACTTATTGAAGTGGTCTGGGTGCAGTGTCCCAGTCCCCTTGAACCTGCAAGTGTAATTATTAATAATAACCTTGAGGGGTAACTCCACCTCTAGTGGCTGTCTACCAACTAACCCTAGCAATAAATAACGCTAATTAGCCCTTAATAACCTTGATCGTGCTAATTAAGCCTCACCTGCCCTAGATACTCTAATTAACCCTAACCCCTACTAGCCTTAGATAACACTAATTAATCCTAACCCTTACTAGCCCTAGATAATGCTAATTAGCCCTTAATAACCTTGATTGTGCTTGTAACGGAGCTTCATGTACCCCGGTTGGGTACCTCCGCTGACGGATGCTCCTAATGTTTTGGACCAGATCAAGTGTCTGCTTGAATATCTGCCCCGTCCAGATTTTTTTAAAGTGAGATGCGTGCACGCGGAAGAAATCACACTGACAACAAGTTCAGATAAATGAAAACTTCGAAGTGTTTATTGCCCCTTAAAAAGGCAGAAGAATGCATTGTGTGCAAATATTAAGCATAAACTTTTAATTAAGTGTAATTGTTTTATCTTGATGTACTTCCTCCAAGGTGTGATGTCATCATCATCTTAGGTGCAGCTCCAGATGGAGATGTCGTCTTGTTACACGAGGGGTTTTGGTCGATGGGAGGGGGTGCTCAGGTGGCCATTTTGAATAATGAATGAGCACGGGTACACATAGTAAATAGACATTTTACATACGCTCATTTCTACCTATCACACTAGTGCTCACCGAGGACTCCAAGCACTGCACCAGACACCATCAGCACCGCAGTCCCCACGTCAAGCGTTACAGCTTGGCTGGGAACTCGTCGTCCTCCACCCACCCTGGACCTACGACAAGGCTCCAGGTTCCAGTGGGTGAACCCTGTTTTTGACAGTGTATATGTATAACTGTGTGCATCTGACTGTGGGACTGCGCATGTGATTCTGCAGTCTGACACATCTGGCATGCACTTCTGTTGGCTGCAGACCATAAGTAGCTGTCTTCCTAGCTTCGGCCAATCAGAGCACTGCCGCAGATTACCACAGGACACTGCAAGTCCCTGAGCTTGCGAGACAGTTGCGCATGGTCTGCACCCAGTGGAGGAGCAGACCAGATTCAGATCAGCATGCCCCTCTACCAAATAGGTAACAACAGGAAAGGAGAAATGAATATTTGTTTCAAATCATTATTTATTTAATACAATATAAAAAGAATGATGGGGGGGGGGTGCTGTGAAGATTTTTCGCACAGGGTGCCTAAGGGCCTCAGGCCTGCCCTGTCCATAGATAATGCTAATTAACCCTAACCCTTACTATCCATAGATAACGCTAATTAACCCTTACTATCCCTAGATAATCCTAACACTTGCCCTGAATAAAGGCTGAGTAATTGCTGTGACATGTAAGGTCACCAAGGGGCCGCAGAATGGAGCCCACCAACCCTGACAGGTACTGGTACAGGGGCAGCCCCCCCAGCTCTGATAAAAGGCCCTGCCATTATAACAGTCTCCAGCAGGGGTCCTCAGAGCTCCACCATGTTTACACAGTGTCTGTAGCAAGGTGTAAACATGCCCAAGGTAAGCTGTGATTATAAATCTTATTATTATAACATAACGAGCTGCAGCTCTGACACATAGTAACAAGGAATTATTCTTTATAGATACGTTTAGCGCCCTACGCTTATCCCATATCCTGTGAATAGGCTGTTATTATGGGTTTATTTCATTTTATGAAATTATTTTATAACAAAATCAATTCTCTTATTGGGATCTATTCAATATATTTCCTGCAATTCAATCAGAGTGCTAGCTCTTGTGGAGAGACCCCTATTAATTCATTTTTTTTAAAGTAACCGCACTCGCCAATCGCTTCTTTAAATAAGAGAAAACGTTTCTCCTATGAAGCCATTAAAATGCCGGGCACTGATTAATACCGACCTCCCCAATGCATTCACAATCTCCACACACTCCTATTAAACCTTTTCATGGCTTTTAAGAAACGTTTTGAGGATTAATTTACCTGTAATTGTCACATCTTCATAGATTTAAATATAAGGTCTGATATTCTGTGTCAAAATGTCAGCTTTCCATGGATCGAAAACCCCCACACAATACCATGTCTGCTTTAACCCCTTCATGACCAGGGACTACGCAAACCGACTTGTGTCGACCTCAGTCCTGGAGGATGGGAACTGCATCTTCCCAACATTCATAAAAAACACGTTTCAATATCTTAACCTCACAGTGTCAGAAAACGGTTCAACTAAAATGCCAAATGATTATTTTTTGCCAACACATTTTTAATGGAAAGATTTTTATTAACTGCTAGAACAAAGGAAGATTGGGAAACAAGGGGTTAATATGTGTACGTTTCCGAGTGTAGGAATAAAAAAACAAAGACATTTTAAAAAAAAAATAACAAAAATATAGAAAGTCAATTCTGTGTTTTCCAGCTGCCTCGCTATATATTAACCTAATACAGAGATAGAAATAACAGCAAAGGGGCTTCATTCCAAAGCAGAATGAAACGTATTTCTGTATAAATGTATTATTTGAATCTACAAATTTGATGTTTTTCTATATTGAGCCTCTGTTTATTTTTTATTGTGGTGAGGTTTGGCTTCCAATCCCAGAGATCTCGATCCTGAAATTAACATATCAAAAACCAAAGAGCAAATTCTCACTTCCATTTATTAGACTTTGTGTGTGTGTTCGGGTCTGTTCGCTGCTGGACGATCGATCTATGAATTTTCTATATTAATTACTCCTAACAAACTGACAGAATGTGGGAGCAAAGGCCAAAATACAAACAATTCTAACTGTAATTAGTTAAAATGTTAAACGATCTAGAAATAGAAAGAACAGTGTGCGTGTTAAAGATTTAAAATATCTGGTTTTCTGACGAAGTTATTCCTTTTACTGGTTGAGTTAGTGTAACCGCGGTGCGCTCTGTGACTTTCAGTGACAGCTGTCGTGTCGACAAATCTGAATGCGATCTGAGACGCTGGTTAGTGCACCCACCCCTTTATTTCTCTGCAACTTATTTTATTTTCAGAAAAATTAACATCCTAACTTGTTTAATGAATAAAATAAATATTTAAAGAAACACGAAGTATTACGCCATGACATATTCTTTATCGGTTCTGATAACATTTATAGGATATTATCCAGGGAGCTTGACAATACATTCGTGGTCTTCATTCTTCCAATAATGAATTCAGATATCTATAGAAATATCCATCGGAACACACAGCAAGTACAAACTAGAAAAAATAACTCGCTGAGTTTATTGGCCAAATGAAAGGACTTCTAGCCAAGTCACAGCGGCCATTGTAATGTTTGAAATATTATCATTAAATCTGACTAGAAGCAAATAAAAAAATCACAATGTCGGAAAAAAGAGAAAGGAAATGTTTAAAGTTGGTTGTGAGAAGATTTGTTTTTCCTTAGTAGTAATAAACCAATTCCATGAGGGATTTTTCTTTCCGATTATCTGGACTTACTGTAAATGTAAAGTAAGAATAAGAGATTTGTTTTCATTTGTCAATTTGATTGGAAGATATTTCTGTGAAAAAACCCAAAAAGATAAAAATATGAAATAAAAGCGTTTTGATGCTAAAACGTAAATCAGACGACGATGGGAAGTTTCTATCTGCGGATCCAGGTTTCTAGCAATTACTGAGACAATCCTCAGCTCATACAACACGTATGGTACACGCTTTAAACAATTGGACCATCTTGAAAATTCAAGGTGTGCAAAAATCCACAGAATTATCATCGCATGAAAAAAACAATTGCAAAGTATTTTCCTTTGTGAAAATCCTAATTTAATACAAGCTAATATGGCAGTATGTAGAATTACCAATATAAATCGAAGTTGTGATATATCGCGGTGAGGGATTTAGTGTCCATTTCTATGTGATAAACCTGCGTGCTCTGTGTGATAGATTTTCTTACATGATTTATCTTTTTAGGAAGTTAGAATCTCATGTTTGATAATTATCGACACGTCAAGGGCTGTCGATGAACTGTTAATAATACTGGTTGGATCTCACTCCCACCGTTCCTATACTTTCCGCAATTCGGTAAAAGTTCCGGCAATCTTTTTGACAAGGACTTACAACAGCGAATCCAACAGCTGTTACCTGCAGAAAAAGATTTGCATCGACCTGTGACTTGTACTCGTTTGTGATTATATATTGTGCGTGTGATGATATATTGTGCGTGTGATGATATATTTGCGTGTTTGAAATCTCTGCGTGTGAGATTACATATTGTCTTATGCTTGTATGAAATCTCTGTATGTGTGAAATATTGGTTTCTTTCACAAGCTGGTATTTTACGTTACATGATATTTGTGATAAGACATTTTCGTTAAAATGACAGAAATGTGGAATTGTTTTAGAGTGCATTTAATATATATATATTTTCAATATTTAGAATTTATTCATATTTTTTGTTAAAGATTAAAACATAAACAAACATAACTAACAAAAACCAGTATAGTCATAGTCCTAGAATGTACATATCAGAGCAATACTTATCTAACACATATGGGATGTACAACAAATGGCATGTACTCGAAGTGGATCACTCAGCTACATATAGCAATACATCGCCCACTTCTTTAAGTTCAAATTCCAGCCAGAATTGGATAATATCAGTATAACAGATATCTTAGACCAGGTAAGACAACTACCCCCTATTCAAATGCACATTATGTTTTTGAAAGTATTTTAAACTGGGCACTTGTTCATTTATATGAAGCTCTCTGTGAACTTGTACAATCTTGTGTATATTCCACATTACTATGTATTCTCCATGTGCTCTGCAAGTATGTCCCAAGTATTCTAATTAAACCTTAATTAAACACACAAAAGAACAAAAAATAGGGCAAAGGGATAAAAATAAAAAAGGGACCTTAACTAGGGCGTTTGGGGTAATTGGGGTGATTGGTGTGGATACATGCTCATAATGTTCTTAAAATTAGGTTCTGTTCCGTACTACCTCTTCCTATACTGCGACTATTTACACCACTTTTGTTCATGTTTATCTTCATTTAATATTTTGCGCTCATACACTTGCACGCCCAGATGGAGAGCATACTGTGGAACTCTATTGTCAGGAGGCTATAATTACATCTACAGCAGCGTTAGGTGGGGGGCACCGAGGGAGCTGCGTGTCCTGGTCAATACTTGGGTAATGGCTGCAGGTATTCACATCCAGAGTGTAACTCAAAGAAAATATATTGCTTCTCGTGTAGGAAGTAGAACATAGAAAACCTTAAATAGAGACTAGGTAAAACCCACAACGTAAGGCAGAATCCCCTCCAAGAACCACGATAAAAATCTATCTATTAAATAAAACAATCGTATAAAAACCAGGAAAAGCGCCATGGTGACCAAATCACAGCAAAATAAAGTAACTGTCTCTAAATGAAATGTCCGGCACTATTATACACAATGCATAATAATAAAAAGAATATTCCAAGAAATGACCGAGATTAGTATCATTATTGAGGTTCTAATCGAATTAAATGGTATTATTTACTTCATTTCTGTTTATCCAGTGTTTCTTATTAAATTATAACCTCTACATTTTTATGCAAAAACAGAAAATTAGAGGTTACTTGGATCTTATGTTTTCATTTATTTTGCAAAGAGAGGCTATGTTTATCAATGCCAGGGGATTCTGGATACAGAGATCTGAGAGGGGGATTCTGGGTGCACAGTTCTGAACAGAGGGTTCTGGGTACACAGATCTGAGAAAGGTGGTTCTGGGTACACAGATCTGAGTGGAGGGTTCTGGGTACACAGATCTGAGTGGAGAGTTCTGGGTACACAGATCTGAGCGGGGGGGTTCTGGGTACACAGATCTGAGCGGGGAGTTCTCGGTACAGAGATCTGTGCAGGGGATTCTGGGTACACAGATCTAAACAGGGGGTTCTGGGTACACAGATCTGAACGGGGGATTCTGGGTACACAGATCTTAACAGGGGGTCCTCGGTACACAGATCTGAGCGGGGGATTCTGGGTACACAGATCTGAGTGGAGGGTTCTGGGTACACAGATCTGAACAGGGAGTTCTGGGTACACAGATCTGAGCAAGGTGGTTCTGGGTACACAGATCTGAGCGGGGAGTTCTGGGTACACAGATCTGAGCAAGGTGGTTCTGGGTACACAGATCTGAGCGGAGGGTCCTGGGTACATTTGTAACCATTTTGCTTTTTCTGCCCAATTCCTGACATGTTCTAGGAAGCAGCCCTTTCGTGTTTATGTTTAAATTAGACATTTAATTAGTGCGCATCTTAGTGAGCACCGTCCGCAATGAAACAATTTGCTGGTATCTTCCTGGCCGTGATTGAGGCTGATTTATCGAAGGTAAATCTCTGTCCGAGCGCAGGATCTAACAATGATTTATTGCTCAGCACTTTCTTGTCATTTTATTAAACCTTCAGCCGTTCCTGCTCAGTAGAAACACGGAGGGAAATGGGCTCCCCAAGGACAAGAATGAGTTAAATGCTGGACGTCTATAAGATTAAGCAGATAATATGATTCATTATTCAGATTCCCCTGAAAAAGCTCAGAAAATGTCTCCTCACACAAACACACTACATACATTCCACAGGGACAGCAGAGATTCTGGTATTTAAACTGCCCCTCAATAAAACCATATCGGAGGCAGGGACCCCTGCTCTTCCACTACTTTACATACCCCCCAACATTTCACATAGACAAAGGGGACACTTTCATTTTAGAGGTGTGTCCATGGGCGGGACTGTTCAGAGAAATTTCAGGTGACTTACTAATAATTTATAGAAAAACCATGTATTTTTACACAGACTGATTTCTAAACACATTTATTGTAGTTTAACCCCTTCAGGACCAGACTGTTTTGGCCATGTTGTATGTTAAGGACCCGGGCGATTTTGGCCATGTTGTACGTTAAGGACCCGGGTAATTTTGGCCATGTTGTACGTTAAGGACCGGCCTGTTTTGGCCATGTTGTACGTTAAGGACCCGGGCGATTTTGGCCATGTTGTACATTAAGGGCCGGCCTGTTTTGGCCATGTTGTACGTTAAGGACCGGCCTGTTTTGGCCATGTTTTACGTTAAGGACCGGCCTGTTTTGGCCATGTTGTACGTTAAGGACCAGAGCGGTTTTAACACTTTTGTGGTGTTTGTGTTTAGCTGTAATTTTCTGCTCTCTCATTTACACTTCCCAAACAAATTATATATTGTTTTTTTCAGAACAAGAAGGGCTTTCTTTACATCCCATTATTTGTATCAGGTCACATAATTTACTTTAAAAAAATAATAAAATATGGTGAAAAATTAAAGAAAAAAAACTTTTTGGACTTTTACTTGAAAAATCTTTTACTTATCTACAAAAGCTAATGAAAAAACTGCTAAATAGATTCAAAATTTTGTCCTGAGTTGAAAAACACCCAGTGTTTACGTGATTTTTTGCAAGTTATAGGGCTATAAGTACAAGTAGGAAATTGCTGTTTCAAAATATATATATTTTTTAAATGTATCAATAGTGACATTGTAACACTATTATCTGTCATAAATCTCTGAATCACACCTCACATACATGTTCTTTTAAAGTAGACAACCCAGGGTATTTAATATGGGGTATGTCCAGTCTTTTTTAGTAGCCACTTAGTCACAAACACTGGCCAAAGTTAGCATTTATATTTGTGTGAGAAAAATGCAAGAAACTATTATGAAAGCTAACTTTGGCCAGTGTTTGTGACTACTAAAAAAGACTGAACATACCCCATTTGCAATACCTTGGGTTGTCTTTTTTTTTTTTACAAATGGTATACCATCATGGGGGTAATTCTCATTCCTGGGCTACCATATGCTCTTAATGGCAACATAACCAACCTGGCAATTTTCAATGTGAAAAAGCAGAAAATCAAGCCTTATATTTGACCCTGTAACTTTCAAAAACACTATAATACCTGTACACGGGGGGTACTGTTATACTTGGGAGACTTCGCTGAACACAAATATTAGTCTATATAGCGGTCCAGCATTATACCACTGCCTTTTACTAGACTAATAAAGCCTTTATTGAATTAGGTATTTCCTTTAACATTCTTGCCGTGTTTGTTCAATGTTTATATTTTCTTCTTCACGTTTTCTCTGCACCAGAGGCTTTTTAGAGGACAGACAGACACAACGTTCAGGATAAATAACAATCTCACAATCATTTAAGGAGCGGCAGCGTTCCAGTACTTTTACCAGAATCAGAAAATGGCGCAATGCCTCATTTTCATTCCCGATGGAGGCTTGTTTGCCTATATTTGCCTGAAAAACAAATTGAAGAAACATGATGTAGCGGAGAGGTAGTATAATTCACAATATCTCCGCTGGGTAACAGGAACAGCATAAAATAATCCAGGTAAATGAATACAGCATACAATAATCCCGGTAGCGTTGTAGTAATCCTTCCTTCCCAAGAACTAGACGACACATAGGCTGGGAGTCAACTGAGGTCTTTATTCACAGGCTCCACAATTTATACAATTCCCCATGCAAGGGGTTTCCTGAGTCCTCTCCCAGGGGTATTCCAGGAGTGGACTACATGGGAAACTCAATGTACAGAGCCTTTCTCCCATCAGGCACTGCTGCACGAGAGGGATACTCCCACTGGAATGTACCGTTAAGTGGATTATCCCTCCATGCAGCAGAACCGACAATTCACATTAAAATACATAACTTTTCGAATACTTGACAGATTTAAATGAATGGACGTTCTGTAGATAGCTGGGGTCTGAGCACACCGTTCGTGTGAATACCGCTCAGATCACAGCTAAAACAACCGAACGCCGTACAAAAAACACATTATTCATAACACAAGTTAAAAATACCGATTGACATAGATGAACCAAACTACCGAACGTCCCGGGACTCCCGAACGCTCTGGAAGCCCAGCAGTGTTTGCGCCGTCGAGTAGCCGTTTTCAGTTTCATGCGCTCGACGACCAAACAACGCTGGGGAACAAAGGATCCAAGATGGCCGACCGCCGCGTGGTCGGTAGCCAAACGGCAGCCACCTAGGAGAGCCTCTGATTACCAATTGCAACATTGTTGCAATCGGTTAACAAGCGCCACACGTCCCTTAGTGTGTGGGCTATTGAAAGATGGTTCATTCGGTTCACGAACGGCTCGCAAAGGTGCCGTTCGTGAAACGAAATAGAAAATTACTATCTGCTTTTTTGGCAGATAGCCAATACAAGCAATACAGCATGCAGGATATAGCAGATTACCAACAGGCACATACACAAAAGATACAGGCAACCCTTAAAAACATATTGTCCCTGTTTAGTCCAAGTGGCTAGGTTTGCCACACATGACATATGCATAGTCGCCTTTTCGGCATATGCGGTATAAACAACCCCCCAAAAACCCAAGTATACTCGGACACCTTATGTTTGGGAAAATTATCACAGCTTTATTAATAATTACAATATAAATAAAATATTAAGGGTCATTGTCAACATATCTAACATAACATCTCAGCCCCAACTCTTTTAACAATTTAACCCTGACAAGGTCCCGCATAAACAACACTATTCACATATATTAACATAAATAACATCTAACCACTTAAAGCATTGCCACCGTGGGCATGATTTACCATGTTCCAACATGTAGGGGTATACCAAGATACACCCTATACACACCAGGTTCGGAACTACCGACGAGCTCGAACCAAACAAAATCTAACCAAACCTAACAGTTCTTAGAGTACTAAACTATGTTACATCTGGACAAACAACCTACACCACAACTTGTTTATCCATCCCCTGCCACAGCTCAGAGCTCGACACCTCAAACTACCTGAGCGCCCCCACCAAAAACAGAGCCCGTTGCAGTCCTTCCTAAAACCCCAACAACTAAAAGTCAACCCCCACATCAGATAGGTGCAATCCATCCTGCCTATAATACCCTGCCAGCTGCTCCTCCAGGTCCCTATGCCATACCACAAAACCGTCTAACATAAGCTGCCATCAGCTTATTCACCTTCCCCCTACTCTTAGCCACTGCCCGGGGATCCCTGGCATGCGGCCATCTTAACCGTGGCACATCTCGGACCAAACGACAACCACATCAGGGATCAACTGCCTCAGCCTCTTCAAAATCCCTCTTCATCCTGGCGTCCCTCAGGGCTGCTGCAGCGCTGGATGGTGGCCGGCAAATGTGGGAGCAATTTACAAACATTAGTGGAGGTATGGCAGCCAGTGTGGGCACCCCCCGCGGCCTACCTTCACCTGGAGCACCCCTTGCGGTCTCCCCTGCTGCCCCTGCCCCTGGGGCCCGCACCAGCACTGACAGGCGTTCCCGCCCGCCTGCCAGGCTGTCTCCCGATAATACTCCTCGGGCCTGGTTGAGGAGCAGGAGCCCGGGCCTGAGGCACCGCCAGGACCTCATGTCTGGGGCTCCAGGCACGCGGCCTACTACCAGTGGCCGTGATTTGCGGCCTACTGCGGCCTTCTACCATGAGGCCTGCCACTGCCGCGCGGCCTTCCGCCTCCATTGCCGCACGGCCTGGTACTTCCAGGCCGGGGATGCGGCCTACTGCCGCCGTGCGCCCTTCCTGTTGTCCCCCTTCCACACCATCTGCCCCGGCCGCCAGTGGTGGATTGTGGTCCGGGGGCGGTGGGCGGCGTTTGCAGCTATCGCGGTCCCCCCGCGGCAGGCGGTTAGGTGGGGCGGTGAGTAGGCCATCGCGGGCCACGCGGGGTACCGTGGTACTGCCGTTGAGGGTCCGGGGGGGGGCCTCCCTTGCTCGTCGGGAGCCTCCTCTACTGGTGAGAAAGGCTCCCAGGGCTCTGCCTCCCCTGTCCCCCCTCTTTCCCCAATTAGTAATTTTTCTTCTTCCAGGGGGGGCCAGCTTACCCTTGGCTGGGCCCACTGCTCCCCCCTCCTCTTTCCCAGTATCCTCTTCCCCCCTCCCCCATCTTGTGGGCATGCCCCTCCTCTCCCATCCTTTCCCTCCCCGTCTGTTTTTACCTCCCCCCCTCCTGGTCTCTATACCTCCCTGTCTGCCTCCCCTCTATTCTCCCTCCCCCCGCCTTGCCTGGGCCCCCTCCCCCTACTGCAGGTCACTTACCTTGGCCATCTCCTCTGGGGCGTGGGCTCTCATCCTCTCTGCTGCTCTCTTCTCAGGATACTGCTGCAGTTCATGGACCCATCCAGCAGGTGGCGCCTGGATTACAGCTGATGTCTTCTGTGGATGCTGGAACTGCTGTTTCTTTGCCTCAGCTTTCTGGGAATGCAGTGCCGGGCTTGGATCGCCAGGCTGCGACCGGTGAGTACTTTGTTCCCTCTGCTTATGGCGCTTCTTCTGTGAGGGTTCCTCTCAGGTTTTCGTGGTTTTTTGAATCAGTGGGAGCGGGGAATGGTGGTTAGTGGGGTCAATTCTATTGATGGTCAACTCCGGTCGGCTTTGTCCCCTGCCCTGCTCCCTCCTAATGTTAAGTCTTCTCCCCCTCCTGGGCCCCTGCCCGGGATGGGTGGCAGTAAAGTGCCTCTGAGTTCCCCGGTGCCCACGGTGGCCAGTGTTGGTTCCGCCTCGGGCGATGCTTGTCTCGAATGGGGGGTCTCAGACGTAGCGCAGGGTGCTGCTTACATGTGCTGGTCTGGCCCTCTGGGCTTGCACTTGAAGCAGGAGACGAAGGAAAAAATTTGGAAGGGGGAATTTGTGGAGATATTTTCTCTCCTACCGCTGGAGGAAGCTCCTCCCGTTACGGACAAGGACAGTAAGGAGTCGGAAAAGGATAGGGAGAAGTACCTTTGGGAATTGGATTCGGGCGTTCTCTATTTTGGCCAGCGTGGTTGAGGAAAAGTCTCCCCAAAAGTGCTCCGCGCTGTTCTGTTATCAGGGCACGATCTGGAACGCTTGTCGTACCTATGGGGGGCTGGGTTGGTGGAGGTACGACGATCAGTTTCGACAGCGGCTGGCAGAGCGTCCCTCGCTGTCGTGGGATCAGATGGATATCGGCCTCTGGCTTTCCATCATGACTCGTCCAGCCCCTCAACAGGGCGTGTTTTCGTCCTTTCTTGGGGGGGCTGGTGGGGGCACACCTTCCTCCTCATCGGCCTCTGGTCCAAGGTCTAGCTGTTGTTGGAAATTTAACGACAGTCACTGTAAGTGGGGGTCCTCATGCCGCTTTAAGCATGAGTGCTCCGGCTGCGGTGGGGCCCATCCTGCCTCCCGCTGTTTCAAGCAGGGAAAAACGGGTGAGAAAGGGGACATGGGGGCTAAGGGCGACAACTCCGGTCCTCCAACTGCGCCCGTGGCTCGACCTTTATAGGAATCGGGCTGCGGCGCGGATCCTGGTAGAAGGGTTTGAGCAGGGGTTTTGGATCCCTTTCTCTGAACCTCAAATCCGTGCAGGCTTTCCCTCAGGTAGTATGGGAAAAATTGGATAAAGAGGTCTCCTTGGTCGGATGGAAAGCCCGTTCTCTGCCCCACCGATGGCTAATTTGCAGGTTTCTCCTTTGGGTGTGGTGCCTAAGAAGGATCCCGGAAAGTATAGTTTGATTCACCATTTGTCATACCCTCGAGAGGGTTCGGTGAATGATGACATTTCTGCTGAACTTTGCAGGGTTTCCTATGCATCCTTTGATGCGGCGGTTCGCATGGTGAGGGCGGCGGGCCCGGGGGCGTTGCTGGCTAAAGCGGATGTGCAATCTGCCTTCTGGCTGCTCCTGGTGCATCCAGAGTGCCATCATCTTTTGGGGTGTGCCTTTGAGGGCCAGTTTTTTGTGGACATGTGCCTCCCTATGGGTTGCTCGCTGTCCTGTTTTTATTTTGAGTGCTTTAGCACTTTTCTGGAATGGGTGGTGCGGAGGGAAGCAGGGGTCGCTTCCCTCCTGCACTACCTAGATGATTTCCTGTGTGTAGGTCCGGCGGGGTCACACGTCTGTGCCCTCCTGCTGCGGGTTCTCAGGGAGGTGTTTCAGTGCTTCTGGGTTCCGTTGGCTCATGACAAGACAATGGGTCCGGTTACGTGCCTGAGCTTTCTGGGCATTGAAATTGATTCGATGGCAGGGGAATGTCGGCTGCCACAAGATAAGGTTTTGGACCTGAGCCTAGCGGTGTCCCAGGCCTTGAGGCGGCGTAAGGTCCAGCTGCGCTGCCTGCAGTCTCTGCTGGGGAAGTTCAATTTTGCCTGTCGGATCTTGCCAATGGGGCGTATCTTTAATAGGCGCTTGGCGGCGGCAACGTTGGGGGTCGTTCACCCGCGGCATTTTATCCGGCTTACCTGGCCCTTGCGGGCTAACTTGGCCATCTGGGATTCCTTTTTGGCCTCCTATAATGGCAGGTCCTACTGGCAGGCCCCGAAGGTCTCTAATGCGGACCTCCATTTGTTTACCGATGCGGCGGGCTCGGCTGGCTTTGGGGCCATTCTGGGCGCCAAATGGTGCACTGACTCGTGGCCGGAGGCCTGACATGCAACGGGGCTCACTCGTTTCTGGAGCTCTTCCCTATCTTGGTAGCTCTGGAGGTGTGGGGTTCCCTGCTGGTAGATAGACGAGTGGTCTTCCATTGTGACAACTTGGGAGTGGTGCAGGCTATCAACCAGCTGTCTGCTTCTTCCCCCCCGTGGTTCGCTTGCTGCGGCGCCTAATTCTGTGCTGTCTGGAGCTGAATGTGTATTGTAGGGCTGTGCACATCCCGGGTTTTCATAATGTGATGCTCTCTCTCGTTCACAGTGGGGCGTGTTTCGGGCAGTGGCTCCGCAGTCCGAATTGGTGGGTGTCCCGTGTCCGACAGAGATGTGGTCCTTGGGTCTGACAGACTAATGGAGTTGGTCCATGGGTCGGTCGCTGTGGCCACATGGGACCGCTATAACAAGGTTTGGAGGGAATGGGATGGGTGGGAGAGGTCCGGGACCCGTCCACTCGCCTGCAGGGTTTGGTTCTTCTCTTGGGGGATTGGGAGGCTGTGTGGTTGTCTCCCTCGGCAATTTCGGCGCGCTTGACGGGGCTCAGCTTCCTGTTTAAGTTGCGGGGTTGGGATGACGCTACCAAGGCGTTCATTGTAAGCCAGGCACTAAAGGGTTTGAGGCGGGGGAGAGTGTCTACGCGAGACTCGAGGCGTCCTGTCTCGGGCACACTCCTAACTACTTTGTGTGAGACGTTGCACGGGCGGGGTTTGCCATTCGGATTTCGAGGTTCGGCTCTTTCGCCTGGCCTTTTCCTTGGCATTCTTTGGTGCCATGCGGATTGGGGAGCTGGTGTGCCCCAGCCGGCATCAAGTGGGGGGGTGCCGTTTGGGGACATTTCGTGCACCGCTGATCGAATCTCGTTCAGTATCCGCCGCTCTCTAAGTGGGTCCGGTTGGGGGCTGTGCCGGGTTCCGGCATTTGTCCTGTTTGGTCCTTTGGTGAATATTGCACTTTGTGCCCTTCTCTTGCGCTGCCACTCCTGGTGCATGGGGATGGTAGTTTCCTTTTCCATTTCTAGTTTATTAGAGTGTTTTGTTTGGGGCTGGAAGTCGTGGGATTGGATAGCAGGGAGTTCAGGGGCCATGCATTCCGTATTGGGGCGGCTACCAAGGCCTCTAGGCTTGGCATGCCAGCGCAGGTGGTTCAGAGGATTGGTAGGTGGGAGTCGAGATGTTATGTTTCCTATGTTCGTCCGGCCGGTTTATTGACGTGATTTCTTTCCGCAGTTTCGGTTCCCCCCAGGATCTGGATCATCGGGCACTCCTATGTTTACTGGGCTGGGCAGCGTGCGGCGGTTCGGCCTGGAGGCGAGAGGTTGGGTTTCACGCAGAGGTTCGATGGCTCGGTGCGAGGGGTATGAGGTGGTCCCGGCTCCTACCCGAGTTGGTGCAGTTGTCTCATCTCCTGGGGTCGCCGAGTGTTCTGGTGATCCACCTGGGGGGGGAATGATCTGGGTTCAGTGCCCATTTGGGATATGATTTCGGCAGTGAAGCGGGATTTAGCCCGCATTTTGGTTTTGTTTCCCAGCGTGCGCTTGGTGTGGTCTGAAGTAATTTCCCGTAACTATTGGCGTGGCGCCAGGAGCCAGAGTGCCATGGAGCGTTGCCGACGCACGTTAAACAGGCGGGTTTCCCAGTTTGTTTTGGAGGTTTGGGGGATACAGGGCCACCACAGGGTTTTTGAGCGGGAGGCGGCTCATTTTTTTGGGTGGGATGGGGTACACCTAACGGAGGTCGGGCTCGACCTTTTTAATCTCGCCCTATAGGAGGCAGTGGAACAGGTCATGGGTGGTTTTGGTGGGGTTCCCCACTGTTTTAGGGGTAAAAGCAGCAGGTCTGGTGGCGGGAGTATGTCCTTGCCAATTAAGTTTGAGGGGTTATGTTTAAGGATGGAGTACGTTCATTATGTTTGCAGGTCTCAACCTCCCCTGCTTCAAAAGGTTAACATTAGGTTGCCTGAGGTGTCGTGCCCATCGAGTGTGGATAAGGTCGGCTGATGGCGGGCATTGGAAAGATATGATTTTATGATGAGGGGGGAGGTGAGAGGAAGTGGTGATTAGGAACCACTGTATGTTTATTGGCGGTTGGGTCACTGTATAACACTGTGGAGTTATATATGTATATATGTTAATTTATGATTATTTAATTCTAACAATTTGGTTACAAAAAATAAGAGTTTAATAAATAAAGTTATGGATGTGTTATTCAGTAATTTATTTATGTTATAATAAATGCTGTGGCCTGTTCATCCATACTAAGTTGTCTGTCGTTATTGGGGGGTTGATTGGGGTTAGTTATGTTTATGTTGCATCGTAATTCCCCACTACGTACATACATGGCCAGTGCAAATCCGGCGCCTCCCTCCCTCTCCAAAACCCCTTAATAGCTTGTCTTACCAGAAAATGCTTCGTTAAATCCTCCCAACTATTGAGTTTAAACAGGAAGGCCAACGCCGTCATATTGCGCCACACCACCGACGGGGACGCCCCCTCAGCAAACAACCGACAGAGGAGCCACAACAAAGTGTTGAAACGCTGCGCCCCCGAAAGCTGACCTCCAGTACACCCCACAGCAGTCATTCCAAACCTTTACATAGGCCACCCAAGTGGACGGCGCCAGCGACCCCTTTATGAGTCCCCCAAGCAAGAGGTCCCGAGCCACCACACATATTTGGGACACCGCATAACTTCCTCCTCTGCGCACGGGGCCGCCTCCCGAAATCGGTCCCACTAAAATCGAGAAAGCGAATCAGCCACCACATTCAGCAACCCTAGTACGTACCGCGCACGATACACAATATTAAACTGCATGCAAACCAACACAAAGTGGCGAAGCAGCCAAATGACCGGAATAGAGGAAGCTGACAACCCATTAACTGCCTCCACCACCGCCGTAAGAAGAAGATAACAGGCGACCCCACAATGCTAATGCCACCACCAAGGGGAAGAACTCCAAAAAGGCTAAATTGCGAATGAGGGAGCTGGCCCTCGACTCCTCTGGCCATGGCTCTACGCACCAACGCCCGGCAAAAAAACGCCCCGAATACTCCCCGAGGCATCTGAGAACAGTGATCTGAGCCCCATTCGGTAATAATGTGCGCTCAGATCTAAGCTATCTGGGGATATGTTGAATGTATATGTTCTGTGTAATATTTGTATATTTTTATGTCTTTTTGGTAACATGTGCTTAATGGAGTTTTGCCTCTGTCCTTGGAGATAATTGGATTACTTCCCAATTATCTTCAGGACAGAGAGGAGGGATTGTGATGCATTGTGGGATTGGTTTAAGTGTGTAAGCTTGTGATTGGTCTTTTTACCCTTTGTATCCCAGTCTTCTATCTGGTCCCCTAGGGGAGTGTCCACCTGGTGGAAGACCTGCATAAAAGCCGGGCAGTTAGCCCCAGTAAACCAGTTCTGCTTGACCCTCAAACGAAGTGTCATCTCGTTCTTAGGGGAATTGGATTGTATGCTGTTACAGTGCGACTGCCAGGAGTGTAAGCTGTTCGTATGTTTTTTCCTGTTCGGCTGTTTAACAACATTCGTGTGTTTCCTGTTCGGGAGTTGGAGGATTCGTGTGTTTGCAGTTCGGGAGATTGGTGATTGCAGTAGCTGCCTGTGCATCTGAAAGGGGAATATCGCCTAAACGGTTTTTAACCTCTTGTGTGCCGCCCAATGGGGATAATCCGGCACGCAAAATTTAGACGGCCCACCATTGACTGAAGCGCCCGCAAGGTAACCTTCTTGGCCCCTGCACCTCCCCCAAAGCCTGCCGGAGTGACAGTAACTTGTCTTCCGGCAACCTACACTCACCCCGGACTGAATTTATCTCCAGGCCCAAAAAAGACAAACAAGTGGTTGCCCCAACCGTCTTGTCACCCGCCAGCAGAATCCCGAACACACTCCCCACCCATTCCAGCGTTCTCAATCCTATCCGACACCCGTCCAACCCCTCCGGACCAATGCAAAGGAAATCGTCAAGGTAATGGACCACAAATTTTATGCCGCCTCCACCTTGACCACCGATTCCAGAAAAGTGCTGAACTTTTTGAAATAAGCACAGGATATGGAACACCCCATGGGAAGGCAGAGGTCGACAAAATACTGCCCCTCGAAAAAACAGCCCAACAGATGATGACACTGTGGGCGGATTGGCAGCAGCCGAAAGGCGGCCTCCACATCGGCCTTGGCCAGCAAAGCCGCCCCACGCACCAAACCAACTCGATCGCTTTCTCGAATGATGCATAAGAGACCGAGCAGAGGAACTTGTCAATATCATCGTTCACCGACGATCTGTGTGGATACGATAGATTATGAATGAGCCGGTACTTACCGGGTTCCTTCTTGGGCACTACCCCCAACGGTGAAACCCTGAGATCATGCAATGGTGGCTCCTGAAATGACCCCACCATCCTCCCCAGCTACACTTCCTTAAGTAGCCTTAAGTTACGGAGTTGATGAACTACCACACGATCCCAGAATGGAATAATGAACCCCTCTGTGAACCCAACCCGCAGCAGTGCCGCATCCTCCCGATTACTGTAGCTGCTTAGCAACCTACCTTCACAGGCGACGACCTCAGCGGTAGAAGATGATCCGACTGCCCCTGGTGTACCCCCCTGTGGCAGCTGCCTTACCTCATTTGAAAAAACGATTGAGTCCATGCACGCCCCTCCACCCAGAACATTAGTGCTTGTAACGGACAATCGACCACCTGGGAACTGGAGTGTGCCGTTAATTGACCGCCCAGAAGCTGCGGTTAACTGCAGCTTAATTGACAAACGCTGGGTGGCCTTTGGTCGTTTGCTGAACAGACACTTATTTGCACGAACAACGATGAGCTGCTGACCTCCCTTCTCCTGCAATTCATACGAACACCGGTTCATTCGGGACTTTCATTATGTGAACAAGGTTACCCCAGATAGCTGTGCCATGGAGCCCATTCGCATACCGAAAGACTGTATGAAAGACTTTGACTCCATGGCGATTCAACTATGTGTATGTGATCTGAGCGCCATTCGGTAATAATGTGCGCTCAGATCTAAGCTATCTGGGGATATGTTGAATGTATATGTTCTGTGTAATAGTTGCAACATTGTATATTTTTATGTCTTTTTGGTAACGTGCTTAATGGAGTTTTGCCTCTGTCTTTGGAGATAATTGAATTACTTCCCAATTATCTCCAGGACAGAGAGGAGGGATTGTGATGCACCCGGAACATTTGTGCTTGTAACGGCATGCAGCCCCCCCATTTGCACTGGCTATCGTGGGACAGCCAGCAAAATCCGTTCTTGTGAACGGCCGATGAGGGGGAAGCCGTACCCGCGCCGGCCCCGGACTGAAAGGGTGACGCCCTCTGCTCCATCATGAGCTTCATCCACAGCGGCAAGTCCATTTGGTCCCACTGCATCCTCGGGTTAACCGACAAACGCTGCCTGAATTGCTCGTCGTACGGCCACCACGCCAAGCCCCCGTACATGCGATAAGCTTCCCAAACCCCATCCAGGTAACAAAAGAGCTGTGAGCATCGATCGGGGGCTTTTCCTCCACGACACTAGCCAGGATACAAAACGCTCGCAACCAGTTCCCAATGGTTTTTGGAATTTTGCGGTAGCGCCGCCGCTTCTCCTCCTCCTCTTTCTTAGCATCTTTCCTATCCTCCTCCTTCATATCTAGATACTCATCAAGAGGGAGAAGAGAAAAGATTTCAAGGAATTCCCCCTTCCAAATCCATTCCTTCACCTTAGGCTTGAGGTGACAACCCAGGGGGCCCGCAAAGGAAACATGAATGTTTTGACGGGCTGCATCCGGAATCCCCCCAACCAGTTCCTCCCTTTCCTCCCCTAGCACGGATGAGGCCCCCGCCGGCACCGTGGGATCCACCACTCCCAATCTGCCACCCGCTGGAGCCAACCCCGTTATGTTTTCCAGGTTAGAAACAACACATGATGTACTTCCCGAAGCGGTAGTGAATGTACCCTCAATGCTTTCAGCCAAACAATTGAAACCTCTCTCTCTATGTTAACTTACAATGGTCTTCTCCAGGGGCCTGCAAAAGACAAAATGCCCTATATGATCCAATGGGAGAAGGAGCTGGGGTATGAGATACCTCTGTCACATTGGCAAGAAGCTATGTCAATTACTAAACGAGCCTCAAGGAGCTTATCACTCTGGGAAGCCTTCTGTAAAATCACCATGAGATGGTACCTGGTGCCATACAAGTTATCGCAAATCTATAAGGAGGCATCGGAGCTATGCTGGAGATGCAAAACACAGATAGGCACTATGCTACACACATTTTGAGATTGTCCGGCCCTGGGAGAATACTGGGACCGGATGGGGAAATTTATCTCTGATACCACGCTCTATAGAATACCAAAGAAGCCAACCAGCTACCTTCTGCAAATCATCCCAGTGCTGATACACCACCCCAACCACAAAGTATTGCTCATCATTCTCACGGTAGCTAAGATAAACTTGGCATTCCACTAGAAGAGCATGACGATTCCCTCATTAGATACTCATACAGAGGTTGAATACGATAAGTATTTACGAGAGAATGGTTAGCAAAACACAGGGTTGTGTAAGTAGGTATGTGAGAGATTGGGAATGCTGGACCACAAATATTGGAAAGGCACAGGACAGCAAGGCTAACAATGAGGAAAGTGATAGGAATAAATAGCTTATAGCGCACCACTTTTGTGTGACTTGAATGTCCGGCCAGGCTCTAGGGTTCTAAGGACAGGGTATGTGTCACAAGAACTGTTGCATAAGCAATATCAATGTGAACCTAACCCTCCCCCCCCCCCTTTTTCCTTTCTGTATTCCCCTCCCTCTATGTTATCTTTCTATGGTATTCTTATGTTTTAATGAAGCTGGTAAGGCTACAATTACCGGAAGACAACAGCACAATACGCAAAGCTTTGATGTCAATCTAAGAAAAATAGTTGTACATTGTCATATAGCAATTGTTTACTCTGTTATATGAAAATGTTACATGTTTGATATTATATGCATTGATAACATTCTCTAATAAAAATGATATATGAAAAAACAAACCTCACTATTTTATTTGTATTCTTTATCTTGTCTAAAACCTCAAAGAGACACTATAGGCACCCAGACCATTTTGGCTCATTGAGGTGGTCTGGGTTGCAGCGTTACTGTCCCTCTAAGTGGAATTCATTACTGTGCTCGAGAAACTGCAATAATTACATTGCAGGACTAAGACTGCCTCTAGTGGCTGTCAATCAGACAGCCACTAGAGGCACTTCCTGCTTACTTGGTGACTTTAGGTGAGATAACTGACACTGCATGAGGACATCCAGCATCAGTAAAATATCCATAAGAAAGCATTGAAGCAATGCTTTTCTATTGGGAGGGCCTAATGTGTTTGCAGCATTTGCCGTGCGTGTGCCTTAGCCTCCCCATCATTGGATGACATCGGAGGAGACTGAGCTCCGACCCAGCGCTAAGGGCAATCTGGCTGCAAGTTTCTTTTAAATAACTCCTTGGACTATGGAAACATATAGAAATCGTATTGTAACCTAATAAAAACCCTGATTGTAAACCTCTAATCCTAACCTTATCTAACTCTAACTAACCCTTAACCTTGGTATCTGTAAACCCTTCTAAACCTTAACTTCAGCTAACTCTAAATCTTGCTTAATATAACTCTTGCTGACCTTATTTATCCCTATTTATAGCTAACACTAGCTCTAACCCTAAAACACTAACCCATGCTAACCCTAGCCTTAACTAATCCAAACACTAGTTAACTCTAATTCTACTCTGCTAAACCTAACTAAAATACACTAGCTACAAACTAACCTAACTTAGCCATAAACCAAACTATTTCTTGCTATTCCTAATCAAAAGGCTAGTTATTCCTAACTCTTGCTATTTTAAACCTCGCTAACCCTTGCTAAATGTAACTCTAGATAACTCCAGATAACTAACCCTAACCTATCAGCTAAGTCATGTAATCTCTGTGGCTTCCAGGTCAGTCTCAGAGCAGTGGAGCATACAGAGGCTTCTTGCTGCGCTGGCTGATTTGTAAAGCATGCAATATATGCCCAGTAATTTGGAAGTCCAGCAATGGCCGGATCTTGGTCACAGTCGATGGAATACGGTTGACCATACCACAGTACGGAAATCCACCATCATCGAGAGAAGCAGAAATCCATCAACATTAAGAGAAGCTGAAATCCACCATCATCGAGAGAAGCAGAAATCCACCAACATTAAGAG